GAAAGGAGTTCAGGAGTATTAGTTGTCTGTTGCTCTACTTGGGAGTTATCTCTTGATGGAAGAGAAAGGAAGTTAACAACTTGTTGGGGACAAAGAAGTTAATTGTTATCTGGTTGTCTCCCAGACTTTGCAGCAATTCATTGGGGATTGTATGAAAGTCTACTGGGGAATAGGGGTTGTGGTCCCTTGATTTGTGATAGCCTGGGGGGAAAATTCAAGCTGGGGAATTTGTAGTTTGTTGGGGAAATAAACCATGTGGTCAATCTGCTGGAGAGGTATTTTCTTTTGGCAGAACTCCTTGAGGATTCTTCTTGAGACCAACTCAGCTGGGAAGAATATTTTCCAGAGATTGAAACTCTGGCTGGGGATTGCCTAGATCCAACTTTATGAGGATATCCATGAATTTGGCCTTGAGGGGTTTGTACCCTTATTCGTGAAGATTATTGTGTAGGGATAACCTTATGACTCTGTATGGACTTGACTAGGGATCACCCTATAAAAAGGACTTAGTGGGAATTTGTCACTGCCCCTAGTGGTAAGTGTTGTAGTATTGCCAAAAAATGTTTGCTTGGCCGTATGTAACCATTTGCTGGAATTCATGTTCCATGCCCCAAGTGGTTCGAATGCAAAACTGCCCTTGGTTATTCAGTATTTCTTGAGGGATTTCTTGGAATCTCGACTTGACTGCCCCCAGACGAGTTGGGTCATACCCCCTTGCTTATTGGAGATTTGTCATTGGAAGTGTCATCCTATTTGAAGTGATTTCGTTTTTTGAGAGAATTTCCGTTCACGGGATGTTCGTCATGCGAGTTTCTCTGTTGTCAAATAAATAGCCATATGCAAACAGTGATATTCAAACAATGCAGAGTTTATGCTTGTCTCGAAGTTTTGAGAATGCAATTTTATCAAATAAAGAGAATTTTGTAAGAATATGAATTCAACTCAGGATTTGCAGTAAGCCTTGCAGGAGACAGCGCCTGAGAGTGGCTTTTCCTCCTCGACCTTCTTCATTTCCATGGCGTCTTACCGAGGAGCTTCTCTTCTCTTGGTGTATTGCTTCAGTTGCTCTTCCTTGATGAGGATCTCAGTCGCATCCTTAAGATGGATGCGCTCTTCAGTAACGCACATGTAACTCTTGTGGAACTGGCAGTACTTGGACTTGTCTGTGGTAGGCATGGGAGGTGTTTTCTTGGGAAAATGGACTTCACCTTGGCGGAATTCCGAGTTCACGCACTCAGTCAGAATACACTTGCGAGAAGCGATCAAGGGTGTGTACTCGGTGAAACGGCTAGCAGGTCCATTGTATTCCCGAGACTCGTGAAGTTTATCTTCTTTTCTTTTCTCCCTACCTCGGTAAGGTGGTGGTGGTCATCATGCCTCAAAACTCTGGCGTTCTCCTGGTGTCGTGAGTCCCGAGTACTATTGGTAGTTTCCTTCTCCTCGTACTGAATATAGGCATGGGCCTTAAGAAGGGGGGCATCCAGTGATGTGGGTGTTTCGATCTCAACTGCTTTGGCGAAATCGCTGTGGGGGCGCAGCCTCCATCCCTGATCGAGTAAATATTTCTTCATGTCATCGGTCGTAGAGACCTGGACGGTTTCCCGATTGAACCTCTCGACGTAGGCTCTGAGGGATTCGTTTTTCACTTGCACGATTGCTTTGAGGGTCGCCTCGGACTTTGGATGGAGACGAGAAGCGGTAAAGTGCCTCGAAAACTATTTTCCTATGTCTCTTTAGGAAGTGACAGATTCGTTGGTGAGGCTCTTGTACCACTTCATGGCACCCTTCCTCAGAGTAGTGGGGAACAACATGCCTTTAATGGCGCCTTTAACACTGTGATAATCGAGCAGAGCATTGATGTTTTCGATGTGTTTGTTGGGGTACGTTGTTCCATCGTATGTTCCTAAATTTGGTGGTTTTTCCAGTTCTGACGGAAAAGGGAATGTCCATGATTGCTCGAGATAATGGCCTAAGGGGGTCATCTTTGTCACTCCAAACTGGCGATCGTGATGGAGAATGATCGTACCTCTCTCGCTGAGGGTTGTCATCGCGGTGAGTTCTTCGGTCGCCCCTTTGATTTGTGTGGAGGCGAACAACGGTTATCTGGTCATCGACTAACCTTACTTTTCTTGGCAATTGGGGAGCGTCAATCCATGCATGAAGGAGTACGGTTATGGCTTCTCTAATGGCGAGTGGCGGCCTGGTTGTCAGGGAAATGAGCTTCATAACTCATGTTTCAGTGTCTTAGCAGGGGAGAGCGTGAACGGTCGTCTTTATCTAATGCTTTAATCCTTTCTTTTTGTTGGTAGATCAGCGTGTTGGTTTGGTTAAGTGTTGCGAATAGGGCCGCCATGGTCAGGTCGGTGTTGGATGGTGTCGAAATCGGTTGAAATTTCTCCGACGTATTCTCCGAAGCTTTCTAGCCTTTGCGAGTTTCGATGTACTAGACGTCATTGTCGGCGGCATCGTCGGATGAAGGGGAGCGGTGTGTGTGCCTATCTTTCCTCAGCGGAGTGCCTTCCTCTAAAAATGGCATCTCATTGTCTTTGTTTGCATTATGGACGGGAGAGATGATGGTTTCATGACCGTCGATGTTTTCGTCGTCTTGATCGGCCATGATCAATTGTTGAGGTTTTTGTTTTGATCTTTTGGTTTCAGGGTTTCATAGGTTTTTGTAGTCTCGAACGATCAACAAATGAGGGATTATACTTACAGGCACTCTGATGCGTAAATCAGTTCAGGTGAAGAGGTAAGTAAAAAAGGGTAAAGAATATAATACATGGCCCTCATGTTGAGGAGGGTTTTTATAGTGAGCCCCCAAGCGCTTGACCAATGATTCAGTTATGGGTTGAGTGGTAAGTATAATAACGAATGACTACTAGGATTCTCACGTGAAAGTAGAGATGAGCAACTCGTGCTCATCGTCCTGGGTCGATTGCTCCGCACTTTCTAGATAGTAGATGATTGTGCCTGTTATAAAGGGCACAATGGTTCCTTCAGTCATGCGAAGTGTGCGGGTCCGGTTGATGACATATCCTCAGGTGAAGAGTACCTGGAAAATATGTTCACCACTGACCCCAACGGATTGGGCCAGTATTTTGGGTCGTCTTCGACATAGAAATGTATTGGATTGTGCTCGACATTGGGTCAACCACAAGCTCAGTCCATAACAGATCATATAAATTTTATCATATTAAATAACCATATAAAAAAGGACTCTGAGATGGAGGAAAAAATAAAATTTTAAAATTTTAAAATAAAAATGATATTTCAAATAAAGGTATTTATTGATTAAAATAAAATAGATATTATATTGATAATGACCCATGAGTTAATTTTTGGAACCCGAACTAGTAGAAATTAATTATCATTAATTAATAAATTCGGTAAAAGTTAATTAATATTAATATTAATTAATTACAAAATGGTAACTAAGTGAAAAAACTCCTACATGTGACTGAACTGATTCCACTATTTCCTAGACAATGTAGCTTCTGAACACACTAAGTCTGTTCAAGAGGAATTAAATTTATGGAATTTCAAAACGCATACACACTTAGAAGATTGAAAAACAATAGAAACAAATGAGATTGATAGCAAGAACATATAATTGTGTCCAGCATTATTTGCATATTGATTATAGTCATTAGGTTTAACACTCCATTCATAACATAACAGTAAGATTTTGAATTCCAATCTTAAATAATGGTCAAGGTGCGAGGGAAGTCCAACATTTGAAATTCAAATTCAAATTCAAATGTAAGTTTCATAAATTACCATGAAGTCTATTATTCAATGATATTCACTTTAGCTAAGATAAGAAACTAAGTTAATAGAGAGGTGTTAGACGACATTTAGCAACTGATTATAGTCATTAGGTTTAACACTCCATTCATAACATAACATTAAGATTTTGAATTCCAAACTTAAATAATGGTCAAGGTGCGAGGGAAGTCCAACATTTGAAATTCAAATTCAAATTCAAATGTAAGTTTCATAAATTACCATGAATTATTCAATGATATTCACTTTAGCTAAGATAAGAAACTAAGTTAATAGAGAGGTGTTAGACGAATTTTAGCAACTGGATTTGTCTTTAAGTGGTAGTTAGACGAAATAAATTTAGTTATAATCTAAATAATGCACGAAAGAAATAAAAGGTCAAACAAAGGGTGGTTAAATTAAAGCAGTGTAAGAAATAACTACTTGACACCATAATAACTAATTGTAATTTATGACAGTTAAGATAAGTTAAGAGACTGTAACAAACGTAGGTTTTTCCTCTTTGCTTCATTGATCAAGATCAACACTTCATTTGTTTGTTATTTACTTTCATTCTTCATCAATTTGTCATCGATTCACCAATTCTTCTCATCTCAGTTCTTCACTTGTTCCATCATTTTTCAAATCTCTTCGTTACATAGCCATGCGATTGTTGCGCCAAAGTAGAATGGATTTAACTATCTTGCAAGGAGTAAATCGTGCAAAGAATAAACTTGTGGATGGAACTGTTGATATTCCACTTTATTGTGAACTCAATACATAATCAACGGAAAAAGTACAAACGTTTGTATCAGAGGAAATTGCATTAACCATTGTTTTTCATGTCAATACAAATGATGTACGGACGGACCCTAAAAGAATGATTTTCCAAAGCTGACTGCATTCGTATTTCCACCCATTTAATATGGTCATGTATGACTTCATAGACTAAAAGAATTGTTGGTAGAATTCAATAAACATCGCCAATTTTCTGTTATGTCCAGCTATGCAGACGCTTACTCAGGTAGAATTTTCTTGAATATCAACATAAAGATAAGTAATATAATTTTTAACGGGCCACAAGGATTAATTTGCCAATATACTCAATTTACCAACAATTAACAAAATTAATAAGTGCAAAAAGCAAGCAACCAAATATCTCATTAGATATGATATACATTATTGGTTAATAATGCTCAAAGATTTCACCAGAGAATCCTCCTAGACAACTCCTGAAGATGTTCCTTAACTCCTTACATGTCTCGAGAGAAATAACATCAACTGATGTGATAATTTCAACAATACTATATAGCGGCCCAACTAATCCTTGGAACAATTTTTCTGTTTCAACCATGATTCTTAATCATAAATCGGTTGCAACATCTTCATGCATAATCCATACCACCGCTAACTCACTGTCACTTTCACAATAATGTTATGATCTTCATCAGAACCACATTACCAAAGGAAGACCAGTGCAGTGTCTATTTCACAACATCAGGGGGAGGCGAAAGTAATGTTCTCTGGTTTTTATTTACACCCTTCTACAATTCCAAAAGGATCAACCATCACATATCGTGTGTTGAAACCCGTAACAGAATGGTAGAACACGAACACTTGATCAATATTGAAAGAGCATTACCGTATCAATTATGTAACTTCTAAAACAGAAAAATGAAAAAATCAAAGGTAATTTTTCAAACCGACATACATATATACTTATATATATGTATCTCTTGGAAACACGTTAATCCAAGTAATCCAAACTAATAAATTAAAAAAGTAATTAAAGTGTGGCTAAAAAAAGTCTACTACCGATAATTGATCAAGAACATTAGCACATAAAATAACATGGACTGCAATCTCAGCCGAAAGATGGTGATTTTTCTTTAATTAATCACAGAAATCAGTAATATTCGGAAATTTTTGCATCATGGATTGCAAAACAATAAAACACAATAATAATAGAAATGTAAACAGGAAATTAGTAACAGTAGGCTTATAATTCGGTAAAACCCGAAAACCCATGTGTCGCAAGTCCTGTAAAAGTTTATTATATGCCCGTTAAAACGAAATGTCGAGCTACAAGACAATAGTCTATATTCTGGACATCAGATACCATAGGCAATTATTAAATACTAAATTAAAGATAAAATAAATTGCAAGAGATCAGATGGTAGTGCATGTTTGTTTCATCATCTTTAACAGAACCGTTGGATAAATATCGTCATTTCTCTTGCAATTCATATACTATGAATAATAATTTCAAAGGAAAAACAAGGACCCTAATTTCAATTTTCAGATTAGTAAAATAGAAAGATGAAAACCAGGATCAGATTAAAAGTCAGTCACCATGTTACACCTTAAGCGTAAAGTAAGACTGGGGCGACAATCGCTATCATCACATCCTATTCATAACAAAATTGATAAAGAAACTGTAAAATTCGAAAATAATTATACCTTTGCTCGCTAGGGCAATTGTTGCCGAGGAAGGCTGCTGGGTGATGAAAACTGTGAGAAGTATGAGAGTATGTATAAGCGTTGTGTCTAGGGTTAGTTATAACGAAAGGAACGTGTATTACGCGATGCGCCTATTCTAGGGTTTTTCCGGGATGGGCCAAATTATATAAAGAAACGGTTTATTATATGTCTTTACACACATAATATGTTAAGTGGCTATTTGCACCACAAACTTTTTCTAATACAACTACTCTTTTTCTCTCTTTTTTATAAAATAAAAATTATGCTATCAGCACACCTCTAATTGATTAAAACTAAACTAAGTTTAACATATATAATTTAGTAAGATTTATTTAAATTTTAATCAATTAAAGAGTGTGGTCGACTATGTGTTATGTAATCGTTTAAGTATTTTAAAATTAGTTATTGTGATGTGGTTTAGATAGGTTTTGTTTTAGATGAAAAGTTATAAATTTAATTTGATCTTATTGAATTTCATATGATGTAATTTGGATTTTTTTTTAATATTCAAATTATAAATTATAATATTTTATTATTAATCTTTTTACATGTAACATGTACATGACAAATTATCAATAGATATTATAAATTTTATAGCAAAAATATGAATTTAAAAATAACAAAACTGTTCTGGACTGGGTCTGTCCGTGGTCCAATCACCAGTGAAGTACAATCCAAGCTTTACAACGTATTATGTTGGGCATTAGATCCTCCGAGCACACCCGATCATGGGTGACAGGTCGAATACGACTGCGCCCGACGGTGCCCGCAAAGAACATCCTCGACGAGAGACGCCCCAGACGAGGAACATCCCAATCCAAGTCCTGCTCGAGTACCCTCATCGTAGGGCAGACTTTCAACCTCTCTGGATGTTTCAGAGTCCTCAGGGTCCCGAGAAGATCGCGTCTTTACCCTCCATATTCTGCAGAGAGCATCATCCAGGTAGGGGACCACGTGCAGGTCCTCACTACTCACGTGGAACCTGGCAGTCCCTTTGTTATGCCTGTTTGGTCAGCCCAATAAAGGGACATTGGCCCAGCGCTGGGGGCTATAAATACTCTCTATTTCAAGAGGGTCAGATATTCATTCATTCACACCTATATACTACTTGCCTGCTCATTCCGTCTCTCACTTTGTCATCAGAGTGTCTTGCAGGTACTCTCCCCCATCTCCTCCAAATCCAATTCAAAGCCATTTGTGACGGTCCAATTCTGATCAGGTACGATCAGTGGCGCCGTCTGTGAGAAACTAAGCTTCTCCGTCTTATTCACTTACAAAGACCAAAGTTAAAACCATCCTCGATTGTCATGGTTGACCAGACTCAGGACAACCAGGGCGTCCGCGTCATTGAAGCTAATAACAACCTCGCCGACAACAATGTCGGCCCCAACAACACCGGCATCACCGGCCATATCACTGCCCCCGGCGGCAACATTCTCGGGACTTACAACTACCGCGATGGAGCCACGGCCTTGTCTTCGTCAATCCCTCCTCGGCTTGAAGAAGATAATCCAGTTCCCCTAAACTATCCAGTCGTCCAATTCCACGAGGTTCTTGTTCCCGTCGGGGCAGACGCCATGACCAGGGCACTATTCGCGGCAATTAACCAGACCAACTATCTCATCTTTGCCCAAGGGAAAGACTGAGAGCACTTGAAGACGACCGAAGGCCCCCTAGAAGACACAGGAGGCCTAAATCCCCACCTCCTCGACGAACGGAGGAACTTCCCCTATCTCCCCCGCGGAGACAGGATCGGGACATCTCTCGAAGCCTGTCACTCCGACCACTCGGGCGGCGACCCCCTTGGAGAGAGAACAACTCATCGAAACTGGAAGGCGCGACCACGGCCCTTCACGGCAAGAACGAAGACCTCCCGGGGACAGACACAGAGGAACCTATCAACGGTCACATCGCTCGAGGAACGTCCAGCACGACCAGGGTCATCGTGACCGACAATACATCAGATCCCTGTCCCGCTCCCCGGAATAGAGTGACGACGACGACCGCCGCGGTCCCTTGTCACAAGCTATCATGGAGGCGCCCATTCTCCCGGGCATGGAGAAGCCTCCCCACTTAAAAAAATATGACAGCATCGTCGACCCGGTCGACCACATAGACGGGTTCGAGGCCATGCTGCACTACCACAACATTTAGGGACCAATCAAATGTCGATTGTTCCCCACGACCCTGAGGAAGGCATCTATGGACTGGTACAAAGGTCTCTCCCCGGGTTCAATTACCTCGTGGTGAAACTTGAAGAACCAATTCATAAGCTCATTCACTGCGTCGCGGCGACATCCGAAGACCGAAGCGGTGCTCGAGGCCATCGTCCAGAAGCACGATGAGACATTGAGGGAATTCACCAACCGTTTCAATCGGGAAGCCATCCAGGTCCCTTGCACGGACCATATGAAGAGATACCTACTGGAGAGGGGGTTCCTCCCCGGCACCGAATTCAGGAAAGTCGTAGGCATCGAACCACCCCGAACGTTCGATGCCCTCCTCAAAAAGGCCAGAGCCTACATGGACTACGAGGAGAGGGAAGCGGCCAATAGAGCCCGAGACCCCAGGAATCGCGGATCCAGCAGCAACCCACGACAAGATGCCGCCCCTCCTCGACGAACCGAGGAAAAGAGAAAGGATGATAAACCCCGGGATGCCCGAGAGCAGAGGGGGCCTTCGGGACGGTTCACAGAATACACTCTGCTTATGGCTTCCCGCAAGCGCATCTTAACAGAGTGTGCGAGTACGTACTTTAAAGATGGCGGCGTCAAACGTCCCCGACCAGCTCCTGCCAAACCTGGGGTGGACCGAAACAAATACTGTCAGTACCACCGGAGCCACGGGCATCTGACCGAAGACTGCGTCCACCTCAAAGACGCCATTGAGACCCTCATAAAATGGGGGAGACTCGCGTAGTATCGGCGAAACGACGCTCCTCGTTGTGACGCCTGCGAGATGAGGTAAGCAGAAGAGGATGCCCGACCATCTGACGAGTCAGTTCCCATCCAAACTGCATTCTCCGTCATAAGATCTGAGGACTTCTACGTCCCTGATCACATGCAAGAACCGTTGTCGACTATCTGACCACGGTCATCAATGGTGGAGGGTTCAACTATCTGACCATAAATTCAGCTAAGAGGAAGTTGGACGAGTTGGTCGACACTGCCCCCCTCAAACGGTGACCTTTGAAAAAGTGAGAGGTAGGTCGGAGCCAATCACTTTCTATCTTGAGGAGCTCCCTGGAGGGCCCCCAATTAGGTCATCCCTCTGCTGATAAGAGTGAGAATGGACAAATTCGACGTACACCACGTCCTCGTCAACGAAGGAAGTTCCGTCGACGTGATGTACAACCAAATGTTCTAAACCCTACAGCTCAACGACTCTCACCTCTCACCTTATGTGGGTCCAGACCTGCAGGGCTTTAACGACTCAACTTCCAAGCCTTTGGGATACGTCAAGCTCATGGTCACATTTGGTGAGGATACGACAACGTCACAAGTCAAGGTGCGCTTCCTCGTCATTGATTATCCGTCCCTTTACAACTGCATTCTGGGAAGGCCGACATTGGCGGAGCTGACCGCAGTACCCTCCATCGTTCATCTAAAAATGAAGTTTTACACCAAGAGGGCATGGGTCGCCACCAACCAAGGGGACCTAGCAGCTTCCCGAAGGTGTTTTAACGCGGCATCCAAGGGATGTGATACGGTCGACACCAACACAAGACCCGCCAAGAGAGCTGCAACAACATGACCAGAGCCTTAGAGGTCAGAGCCCGTCAAGGCGGAAGAATAGAGAGCCCCTCCAGAGGTCGACTCAATATCCCTGGACACCCGCTTCGACCAGGATGAGCCTCATAGCGGCGAGCAAGTCCCCCATCCGACCAATTTCGGATGGAGACTTTGAACTTGTCCCCCTCGGTGAAGACCCAAGCAGAGGAGTGAAGATTGGC